TGTTCAGGTCGCATCTACAGGTTTGAATTGTATTAAACATTTTTAGAGATTCTGTCCTGTCGCTGTCAAACAAAGCTTACAAAGCTTTAGCGCAAGTACACCATCAAGCAGGCTTGACGAAAACTCCACGTGGGTTACCTGTTGTAAATTATTGACTTTAGCAAATTGAAACTTTTCAAGGACTAGACACGGCGGTAACAATCTTCCACCAAGAATAATCACCAATAGAATAGATCTTGATCGCATGGAAGCGCAAGCTAAGGCAGCTAAACGCCGTGCAATGGTAAGCGGTAACTTGGCTGAGTTTTTGACTTATTGACTATGACAAGATCTCCATCCGTATATAACAAATAAAACTATGCAAAAAATAATACACGTCATACGGATCCAAGTAAGTTTTGAACTAATGTCGAAGAGATTTTTGGATGGAAGTGTCCAAGCTACTTTTGGACAAGACTATACCACTAGTCATAGTTTGTGGACAAGGAAGGAATTCTTAAAGCCATAGGTTGCTGTCCCAATGAGGTCAAAAAAACTATATCTTTGCGAATAACGGCGTTAAAAAGAAGTTATTGCACAAATCATGGATTTACCACGGTTTTGCTCAACTGAAACGATTTTTCATCATGATGTAGTTCCCACCAAAAAAACTCGGCAAAGAATCAAATTTACATTTGTTCTTCTGCAAAGATATTTGTCTACACACAAAGTTACCTCACATGGAAAACTTCGATAGTGAGTAGTAAATTTCAAATGTGCGTTGCGGTGAGTTTTGAAGCTATCATTATGAAAAAACGAGGAAGGCATAGAAAATGTAGGACCAGCGCGTCACTTCTGCAAACCAGAGGTGATGCGCTGGTATATAAAAAGAACTAGAGCGTTGCAATACTGGTGTTATAGCCCTCTACAGCATATCAAAGAGGTATAAAGAAGCAGAAGAGTAGGGTGGTTTACTTTTTCACCGACAGTACAATGAGAAGGAAAAACCGTTGTGTAAGCAATTTGTTTACTTACTTCTCAAAACGGCAGCAGCGAAACACAACAGCTTTGCTACTGCAGCATGGTGACGTTTAACACATTGAGGACCACTTGACACAATAGTGTGTTAGAGGCAGTGTCCC